ACCTGAAACCACTCAACTTCCTTAGCGTCCCCAGAGAGAATGGTTACCTGAGGGGGGGGTTTAAAGCCATGATCAGTGCAATGCCTCCCAGCACACAGCCCATGTTTAGTACAGAGTCCCCACACCAACAACTGCTGAATGCTAACCACCTCTGGAATCACCCCTGCTCACTGGCACAGCATGAGCCTGAGAAGTCCTTGACTGGGGTAAACAACTGACACCACTGGTGTGTTATCAGCCTTGTTCTCAGGCTAAAGTCAAAACCACAGCGCTGCCACAGCTACTAAGAAGGAGAAAAATGCCTGCTACAGCTGAAGCCAGGACACAGGCTCATCCTTATGTACTGAAGGATGAGAAGGTATTTACCACTTAAAGGGAAGGAAAACCAGTGTGAAAGTTTGGCTTTGGAGGCTCAGCAGAGCCCTCAAAGCCTGTGCAAAAGCCGGCATGAGCTCCAGCAGCTCAGTCACAAACTGGAATTCCAGGGTCATCACTAAGACTGTAATAGCTTCTTGATGTTACTGGATCAGAAACAAATCCCTGCTCCTTTCCAGAGGATGCTCTTCCCAGTTCTCTGCATTACAGAGAGCATTTACTCCAAACACTTCCTCAGCTGCTGCTAAAAGACTTTGAGCTGAGTCACTGCAGGTCTAAATCAGGACTCGAGCTGCTGAGTCAGATTGAAGTGACAAGGCAGAGAAACAGTTACACTGACACATCTGACAAGGCCTTTTTTAAGGCAAACCCCCTTTTCCCAAAGGCAATCTTTGCATCTGGTACAGTTCTGGTGCTGGGCATGAGACACATACCCACAGCACAGCCTCACCAGTCAGGAAGGCAGCAGCTCTGCATTGAGAGGGGAGAAGAAATGAACCCCATCAGCACCCACATTTCCACTGAGTACATTTCAAAGCTTCCCAGCTGGGGCAGATCCTCCAAAGGCTCCTTCCAAGCTGAGTTTCCCTGTGATGGTATAAACTGGGACAGCTACAATTAAACCCCATCTAAATGGGACAAGCAGTAGCAAAACACATCCGGCAAACTACTAAGTTTCATTTGGCAAACGTTACTGACTCTGTCCTTTGGGTTTCTCCTACCCTTCCATACACTTACCTGGAAACCCAGAGGAACCTCCCATCTCCTGCCTCCCTGCTTGACCAGGCTCAGAGCTAAATACATATTCCTACAGGACCCCTCCTAAACTCAGATGTGCAATGCATTTTACAGCACTCCATGGATGTGTCTTCAGTCAGTTCTTAAGAGCTCAAGCACCTACTTTACAACACAGCAGAAAGGTTCCTCCTTATGGATACGGACTTAATGTCTCTGGAGAGTTCTCTTCGAGAAGAAGCATGTCCAGGACAACTTTGTGATTTCAACTGAAAGCACGGAAGGAAGCCCAAGTAATCCATGCTACCGAAGTACAGGCTAAACGAAGCTGGGTGTAATAAATACCTAAAAGTAGCTGAATTACTTGTACAGTATAAACAGACAGCTCTGAACTGCTACCAGAAATGAGCCAAGAACAGATTCCCCTATTGAACATGCCACTGATAATGTGGAGTGAATTAAAACGCCCTTCACTTGCTCAGAAGGCCACAGAGGGGAAAGGAAGCTACACACTTGTGCTGACAGGAGACCAACTACACAAGAAGTCCCGTCAAACAAGCAGCAATTCAAGGCTTTTCCCTTACAGCCCTGGAATTACCCCAGCTGCTGGAAAAGTGGCCAAGTTCTGTCATCCCATCACTCACGCTGCTATGTTTGCTCTGCTGCTCTTCTGTTGGAGGGTTTATTACACAGAAGCACAGGCAGAGGCAGTTCTCTTTCAGAGTGGTCTTAACCCCAGGCTGCCACCAGCCCTGCGGGCCCTGCTGTACCAGGGGATAAGCCCTGTTTGGCTGCTGGGGCAGCAGCCACCACTGGCTCCCTCCCCTCTGCTTCAGCTCCCCAGAGCCAGTGATGTGATATCACTGCTGGAATGTGCAGCAGTGCCATGGATGTGGCCGGGGAGGGGGAAGGGAAAGGCAAAAATCCTCTCTGGGGAAAAACAACAGCCCCACAGCACGCTTGTCCTTCCCGATGGTCAAAGACCAGGATTCCTTCCGGGCTGTCTGTGTCAAAGAACTCACCTGTACATGGGATGGTTTGTGCTGGATGGGACCTTAAAGCTCACCCAGCTCCACCCACCTGCACAGGCAGGGACACCTTCCACTGGAGCAGCTTGCTCCACCCCCTGTGTCCAACCTGGCCTTGAACACTGCCAGGGATGGGGCAGCCACAGCTTCTCTGGGCACCCTGTGCCAGCGCCTCAGCACCCTCACAGGGAAGAGCTCCTGCCTTACATCTATCCTAAGTGATTAATTTCAACTCTGCCTCCTCCTGATCTTTACACCTCCAATATCTGAGGTTTGGGGCTTCAAGTCCTCTTCCACACAATTGATGTATTCTGAGACATTCAGATTTCCTGAAGAGTGAGTGGGCTCCCAAGTACAACAGCGTCACCCAAGGCCAGGGAGTCCTTTGTTACAGTTCTTTAAGCAGGGATTAGCTCTTCAACTAAGTCAACTCAAACTCGACCCACAAGAGTTATACGAGGTTAAAACCGACCAGAGATGATTAGAGGGCTATCAAGTTCCAGCAAAAGCTCATCCTTCCCAACATGTGCTTTGCTCCAGAAACAACCACCACTGATTTGCAAAGCAAATCCGAGTTCAGCTGGACCCTGCCAGCACAACAGCTTAAAGCTGAGAGGCTGCAGGAATTCGTACTTTCACTATTACATTCCTTTAATGATCGAGCTCCCCTTTACAAAGTTCATATTTGCTCTCCTGAACACAGCAAACAGAGCCAAAAGAGCCAAACAACTCCCTCAATCCATCAGCCACGAAGGTTTTGTGAAGCACAGAGCATCACACACTGCTCCACAGGCTGAGGAGCACTGCAAAGGCAGCCAGACGTGCCATTTGCATAGCAAACGAAGAACAGACCCAGCAGCGTGCCTAAGAACGCAGGCAAGACCAACACCACGACTGCTCACAGCCACCACGCACCCTCAGCCTGCACCCCGCAAGGAGTAACAGGGCTGAGCTGCCACCCTTTAGCCCTGTTAGGCAAAAGCAATGCCTTGATTCCTTTAAACGATGAACTATTTGAATGTAACTGCCTCACTGCAAGGAGTTCTCAATCCCTGCTTCAAGCAACGATGGGGAAGGATGGGGAGCTCCTCTGCATGAACTCCTCAGCTCCAGATAACAGCAGCAGCTTTCAGGCACTCACACTCCCCCCCAGGCCCTTGTGCTACCTCAAGGTTTCACATCTCAAGCTATGGATTCAGTTTTAAAAGCTGCCATGGATGGGAGGCGCTGCAGCCACGGCACACGCAGGCTTGTGGCCACTCACCTGGCCTGGAACATCCCAGGATGAAGGTGGAGGGAGAGCTCCCGATGGAACCATAGAATGGTTTGCGATGAAAAAGCTCATCCAGTTCCAGCCCCCTGCCACGGGCAGGGACACCTCACACCAGACCACGTCACCCCAAGGCTCTGCCCAGCCTGGCCTGGAACACTGCAGGATCCCACCCCAAAGGCCATTTTTAAGGCTTCTGAAGGGAAATCTGGTTCCAAGACAAGGTGAAAGGTGGTAAAACCTTAACCCCCCCTGAGGATCCTCACTCTGCTTTACAGAGAACACGCCTGCCACAGGCTTGGCCTTCCCACCCACTTCACCCATTCAAACCCTGCCTTACTACTTGAAGCCTCAAGGAAAAGGCACCTCCCTGAGCAGGGAGCTTCAGTTTCAGGCTGCATCCAAAGGAACAAGAAGAAGCTGCTGCTACTGAAGTGCCTTTTGAAGGGCAGCGCTCAGTTATGACTTATCTGTATCTCTCTGAGAGTGCTGTCTGCAGCCCTGTGTCCACTTTGGGGGCAACAGCACAAAGAGGGACCTGAAGCTGTTGGAGCGAGGCCAGAGGAGGCCATGGGGATGCTGCGAGGGCTGGAGCAGCTCTGCTCCGGAGCCAGGCTGAGAGAGCTGGGCTGGGTGAGCCTGGAGAAGAGAAGGCTCCTGAAGGGGAGACCTGAGAGCAGCTCCAGTGCCTGAAGGGGCTGCAGGAAACCTGGAGAGGGGCTTGGGACAAGGGATGTAGGGACAGGAATGGCTTTAAGCTGCCCTAAACTCTTACAGGCTCCAGAAGAGGCTCGCAGGGGACTGACAGCGCCACGGGCACTTCAGGCAGCACCAACCGCGGCAGCTCCTTCCCCCACCGCAGCCCTGACGCCCTTCTCCTCGGTGCCCGCAGCTCAAACAGCCCCCGTGCCCCAGCGCTGAACCCGCCGCTCCCTGAGCCCGAGCCGTTACCGCTCAGAGCGGCCAAGGACCCCCGGCACCCGCCCCGCGGCCCGGCTACCGGGCTGGGACCACCCCAGGGGCTCCGAGCGCCCTTCCCGGCGCAGGCCCCGCCGTGCCGGGATGACTCAGCAGCAGCAGCACCGGCGGCGGTCCGGCCCGCACTCCGCGCCCCGCCAGCCGGGCCCGCCGCCGCTGAGGGGACGCGGCCGGAGCCCCGGTGCGGGGTGCCGGGGGGCTCACAGGCCGCGCTGCCCGCGCTGCTCCGGCCGGTGCCGCGGCCGCTCCCGGCCCTTCCCGGTGCCCCCCAGCTCCGCTCCCCGAGCCCCGGCCGCTGCCCGCGCTCACCCATCGCGGCTCCTGCGACGGCGGCTCCCGAGCGGCGGCAGCCACAATATGGCGGCGCCGGCAGAGGGAGGGCGACGGGCACGGACGGCGGCCGCGGGGGGACAAACCTCCTTAGCGCGCGGACGGGGCGGGGCCGCTCCTTCCACCCGCTGCGTTCGGGCGGCCCCTAGCGGCCGGGCGTGGAATCCGTGTCTTGCCCTCCCGTGTCCCCCCTTCACCCCCTGCTCCCACCCGCCCCCCCCCCAGCTCCCCACGCAAGCAGTGCGGGTTCCGAGCACAGGAACACACAAAAAACTCGGTTTATTACAAACGCTGTGCCCCGTGCGAGGCCTCGGCATCCCTCAGGAGGTGCGGGGCCGCCCGCTGCCGCCCGTCGCGATGAACACGTCAATGGGGACGTTGGGCAGCGTCAAGCAGTGGCTGCCGGGGCATCGCCGCAGCTGCCTGTGGGAGAAAGAGGAGTGAGGCAGGGGGCAATGCACGGTGCAGGACGGCATGGCACAGCCTGGCATGGTACAGAATGGTACAGAATGGTACAGAATGGTACAGAATAGTATAACATGGTACAGCATGGTACAGTATGGTACAGAATGGTACAGAATGGTATAACATGGTACAGCATGTTACAGCATGGTATAACATGGTACAGAATGGTACAGCATGGTACAGAATGGTATAACATGGTACAGCATGGTACAGTATGGTACAGAATGGTACAGAATAGTATAACATGGTACAGCATGGTACAGTATGGTACAGAATGGTACAGAATGGTATAACATGGTACAGCATATTATAACATGGTACGGCATATTATAGCATGGTATAACATGGTACAGCATGGTACAGTATGGTACAGCATGGTATAGCATGGTACAGCATGGTCCAACATGGTACAGCATGGTACAGCATGGCATAACATGGTACAGAATGGTACAGCATGGTACAGCATGGTATAGCATGGTACAGCATGGTACAGCATGGTATAACATGATACACCATGGTATAACATGGTACAGAATGATACAGCATGGTATAACATGGTACAGAATGGTACAGCATGGTATAACATGGTACAGTGTGGTACAACGTGGTACAGCATGGCATAACATGGTACCGCATGGTATAACATAGTTCAGCATGGTACAGCAAAGCAGAGGAACACCATGGCATGGAGCTGATCCTGCCTCTCTACTCTGCTCTCATGAGACCCCACTTGCAGAACTGGATGCAGTTCTGGTGTCCTCAGCATAAGGACATGGAGCTGTTGGAGCAAGTCCAGAGGAGGGACATGAGGATGCTCAGGGGTTGAAGCACCTCCCATATGAAGACAAGATGAGACAGTTGGGGCTGTTCAGCCTGGAGAAGTTGTGTGGAGACCTCAGAGCAGTTTCCAGTGTCTGAAGGGGGCTACAAGGGTGCTGGAGAGGGATTCTTCATTAGAGACTGTAGGGATAAGACAAGGGGTGATGGGTTCAAACTGAAACAGGGGAAGTTCAGGTTGGAGATAAGGAAGTTCTTCCCTGTGAGGGTGCTGAGGCGCTGGCACAGGGTGCCCAGAGAAGCTGTGGCTGCCCCATCCCTGGCAGTGTTCAAGGCCAGGTTGGACACAGGGGCTTGGAGCAAGCTGCTCTAGTGGAAGGGGTCCCTGCCCATGGCCAGGGTTGGAGCTGGAGGAGCTTTAAGGTCCCTTCCAACTCAAACCAGGCTGGGATCCCAGGATTCTACAGCACAGCATGGCGTGGTTCAGTACAGCGCTCTGATATGGCACGGCATGATCTGACATGAGCCAGCACAGCGCAGCACCGACACGGCACAGCTCAGCACAACACATCAGAAGCCCCTGCCTGCCCCAGCAAAGCCTGTGGGCAGCAGCAGCCCGCAGGCAAGCAGGGCTCAACCTCCCCCCCCATCCCAGACACGGAGGGAATCGAAGCACCCAGCAAAGCAAACCAAGGCAGCGCTGCAGGCGATGGGGCCGCAGTGGGGCTGTGCCTGCCCCCGCAGCACGTCCTGCCCACTCCTTACCTCCCCACTGCCAGCTCTTGGCCCGGGGCCTCCTGCACCTCGGGGGGCACCTCTGAGCTGGGGCAGTCGCCGGCCTCGATGGGGAACCTCCGAGCCTGCAGCGCTCGCTGGGAGCTCATGGCTGGACCCTGCGTGCACCTGGGGGAGAGGAAGGAGCAGTGGGACCCCTGCGAGCCCCTCAGCATCACCCTGCCCACCGCTGGGCTCCGGGCGAGGACGTTCCAGCCTGCACCCACCTCGCTGAGAATCCACCACCGGTTCTGGGCAGCACCGACCTGCGTCACAATGGTACCCCCGGGGGTTCACAGGTCCCTTCTGTGTACTGCCCCGCCCCCGGGTGCCTCCAGGGTGCTGCTGAGGATTCACTGTAGGACGAACTAAGGGAGGCATGGAGCGGTTTTTGCTCGCCCATGGCTACCAGCTGGGCAGGACCATCGGCGAGGGGATGTACTCCAAAGTGAAGGAGGCGTTTTCCCAAAAGCACCGCAAGAAAGTGGCCATTAAAATAATTGATAAGAAGGGAAGGCCAGAAGGTAAGGGGTGACTCCAAAAAGGGCTCCAAAGAGGCACTGTCCGCCCTCGGAGGCTTTGAATTCCCAGCAGAAAGCTGGTTTCCCACCCTTGCCACCAGACAGCTGTTGGGCAACGGCTGGACTTGGTGCCCTTAAAGGTGTTTTCCAACCTGGTTGATCCCATGATTCTCTTGCTAGAGTTTATCCACAAATTCCTGCCCCGGGAGCTCCAGATCATCACCCGCTTGGAGCACAGGAACATCATCCGCACGCACGAGGTGCTGGAGTGGGCGGAAGGGAAGCTGTGCATGGTGATGGAGCTGGCGGAGGACGGGGACCTCTTTGACTACCTGGTGCGGGAGGGGCCCCTGCCCGAGCCCCGCGCCAGGGCTCTCTTCCTGCAGCTGGTGGAGGCGATCCGGTACTGCCATGAGCGCGGCGTGGTCCATCGCGACCTCAAGTGTGAGAACACGCTGCTGCACGGCCGCACCTTGAAGCTGACGGACTTCGGCTTCGCCAAGCTGCTGCCCTGGCAGCGGCAGGAGCTGAGCTGGACCTTCTGCGGCAGCACGGCCTACACGGCGCCCGAGGTGCTGCAGGGGCTCCCGCACGACAGCCGCAAGGGCGATGTGTGGAGCGCGGGGGTCATCCTCTACGCCCTGCTCTGCGCCCGCCTGCCCTTCAACGATGCCGACATCCCCCGCATGCTGCACCAGCAGCAGAAGGGAGTCTCGGTCCCCGCGCACCTCGGCATCTCCAAGGAGGGGCAGAACCTCCTCAGGATGCTCCTGGAACCGGACATGGTGCTGAGGCCGTCCATTGAGGCCGTGCGCAGGCACCCCTGGCTCACCAACCCCTGATCTCCCCAGATGGAAGCGTTTCTAATACTAAGATAAATTTGGAGGTCAGTGTCTGCTGTGTCTCCATCCTCGCAGGTGACAGTGCCATTCGTGTGCTCAGGCATTGCATGGGTTCAATCCAAGCTCTCTACAGGGTGGGAGGCAAGGGAGGTTTAAAGCAACGACCCACAGACCCTCCTGGGGCAGCTGTACTTATCTCGTCCCCATCCCAACCCCATCCCATTCCCATCCCGAAGGCAAAGGAAACTCTCAGCACACGCAGAGACTCTGTAGAATTCCTTTAATTGCTGTTAACTGCAAAAGGTTTGGAGAAAGTCATCGTTACAAAACTACCAGCTGTTAGAATTGCTCCTGGCTCTCTCCCCAGCTACAAAAGGCTCAGGGAGAGGTGGGATACTTGAGAACAGAGAATATTGCACAGACAACCCAATGGTTAATTGGACTAAAGAAGAGCAAACCAGAAGTGACACAGAGGAGAGCACGGCACGCTAGGAGCCCTGCTGCCGGGCAGGGATGCAGCCACCACTCACATCAAACCCGGGGAGCAGAGACCTGAGCCTGCACCCACTGCTGGCACCCACCCAAGGCTGGTTTTCCTGCTGCAGCTACATTTGGGGCCAGGCACCAGAGGCTCTGCCAGCCCATGTAGCTCAGCTCCAGCCCTCAAAGGTTCTGCAGGACAAACGTGCTCTCATGTAAGTGCCCAAAGCCACCACTGCCACTGATGCAATCCTTTGGGCAGCTGTGCCTGAGAATCAATCCTAAAGGGGAGAAAAAAAAACCCAAACCAACCCCAAAAACCCAACTCTTCCAAGAGTACCTGGGTTAACGCTACCCTAAACCAGCAGGAAACCCACAGCTCCAACCAAGCAGCCCTGGAAGGGGCAGAAGGACAAAGGCAGCATGTATAAAACCACCCCCCAAAGGGCAGGAGCAGCAGCAAGGGCTCCATCTCTATAGGATAACTGTGTATTAGCATCATCCACTGAGGAGCACCTCAGGACATGAGAAGGGAAGTGCCCCAAAAAGAGAGGCTGCGGGTCAGAGAGAAGCGTTGCAAGCAGTCACAGAGGGCTTGAGTGAAGGAACCCAAGTGAGCACAGCAAAGCTTGAGACCCTGGTGGGACACGAGGGGAGCTGGAGGAGTGGACCTCAGCCCACAGGTACCACCATCCCCGAGGGCCAGGCTGGGGCTGTGCACCCCAAACTGGGCACCACAGGGAAGGGTTCTGCTCCCAGGGCAGCCCAAATCACTGCCTGCCCGAGTGACTCAAGTTAAGAGCAAGCCACAAGTAGTTTGCTTGAGGAATTTAACTCGAAAGACACAAATGCCAGGAGAGGAAGGCAGTGCAGGGGGAAGCAGCAAAGCCTTGGCTCTTTGAGGAGCTGCTGCTCCTGCAGCAGGAAATGAGAGTTCCCATTAGAAAAAGCTTCCAAGAAAAAAAGCCAGGCAGAAGCTGAGGGTTTGGAGGGGAGTTTGGCTCCTTTCAGCACGACCCAGCTCCGGGGCAAAGCCACAAACCCACTGCCTTTCTTTGCAGCAATGAGTGGCAGCAGAAGGGGCTGAGCCTGTGGCACCTCCAGCCATGCAGCACCTGTGCAGGGAATGGTCTCCAGGGCTGGTCTGGAGCAGCACAGAGCACGAGGGAGCAGGCACAGCTTGCATCCAAGAGCCTTTGAGCTGCTGGGCTGCAGCTGACGTGCACACACACACAAGCAAGCACCTTGCCAGGCACCCAAGCACCCGGGACCCCTCACTGCATCACATCTGCCCCTACCCAGGGCAGCCAGTTTGGCTTGGCCAGTCTCTAGGACCTACTGAGAAGATGGGCTCCCTAGCAGCTAAGTGTACAAGTGAACTCTTGCTTCCTCCTCCTCCTCATCCAGGTCTGAAGGGGTCACTGGAGTTGCCCACAGGATTTAGCAGGAATGAAACTCCTCCAGCCTGGAAATGCAATCCCCAGCACAGTCACACACAAAGGAACAGCCGGTCCGTGATTTAATTCACAGTCGATGGTGGAAATGAGCCTGTGACACACACTGGAAGCAGTTGCTTTATTCCCAGTCTTCCCACTCTTCATCTTCCAGCTGCAAACAAAAGAGCATCCCCCAGTGTTTGTAACTCAAAAGCCATCTATCAACAGCTCCTCCTGCCCAGGGCACCTGAGTCAGCACAAGGCCTGACATATTCTCATGCTCTCAAGAGGGATTCTCTTGCTTTGCTTCCCTTAGGGAACTTACACACTCATCCCTCTTCAAGCATGCCCAGGCAGTCACTCTCTGCTTCAGCTAATACCTGTGACTCCCACAGCAGCATCCCAAGCTAAGCCTGTGTCCTCAAGGAGCACCTCACGCCTTCCAGAAGGCTCCTGTGAGCTGCTCTATGTGGGCAGTAGCTGACAGGCAGAGCAGCAGCAGCCACACCTCTCTGGATGCAACCCTATGTGAGTGAGCACCTCCCTGGACTCACCTCCCCGGCCATTTCCACCTTCGAGAGTGCCAGCTGCACCTCTTCTTCAGTCATGTCCAAATCAAAGTCCTTTTCCCAGTCCTCACTGATGTCAGTGCTGGAGCCTGGAACCACAAACATCACGATGGAGCTGTTAGAGCTGCATATGCTTTCCAGATGCTCTGGCCAAAGCACACAGGTGCCCAAGCAGCCCCACAAAGCCCTGGCATTCATTGAGGCTCAGATCTCCTGCAGCCTGGGAGGAGAGAAAGCCTAGGAGCAGGCTGTCAGCTCACTAACAGAGATGGGGTGGACTGAGCTGTACTTGCTTTGCAGCAAAGGGCTAGTCCAGAACAACTGGGAGAGGTGAACAGTGAAACCTGTTCTCTGGCCTGGGAGAACTGGGATGTGTCACGTTTCAGTCATGCAGAAAATACATCAGATAAGGAATGACAGGAACTGTCCTAGTCCCCAGTACAAAGAATGACCTTCTGAGGCAGAGGAGCAGCAGGGAAACTCCTCAGGGTGACACTCAGAGGTAAGGACCCACCACATTCCCTTCCCAGACCCCAGACCCAGCACCCAGGGATCAAAGCCCTGCTGTGTCCAGCCAACAGACACTGGATTTCCTGTCCACCTTCATTCTGCTCACAGACCCAGCTCATGAACCTCCCACCGTGCTGCACCTTGAGCTGCTTTCAGTGGCTTTGTAATCCTACAACCTATATAATCACTGCTGTGGGAGCCCTGCAGCAGGCTCTGCTGAAGGCAGCATCCTCTGCAAGGAAAGGGTTGGGAATGGTGTCAGCCAGAGGGTGGAAGAGCCTCCCCTGCCAACTGAACAGAGCCAACTGTGGCACCAGCCCAGCCATCTGCCCGGAGCAGATTGTCACTATCTGATGTGACCAGCCTGACCCTGCCCAACAGCAGAAGGATTTCCTTCCACTTTAGTTCTGGCCATGAGAGAACTCTTTGGATCTACCCTTCCTGAGTAACTTTGGCAAAAACCCTTTCCTCCTCCCTATCATCATGAAAATCAGAGCCCTTTCCCCAAAAGCTGCCACCCCCAGCAGCAGGTTTCAGGCCCTGTGCTGGCCCCCACATACACACCTTTCTTGCCATTGTTGGAGGGAGTGGATTTCCCACTATCCGAGTTCAGCTCGAAGACTCGTAGATCGGATGGTCCTTCCTCTTTCAGAGTCTCTGTCCTGGCCTGGGCTTTGCTCTCCACCTCCTTGAGCTCGGTAGCAGCCGGCTGCTCTGAGGATGCTGCTGATTCCTGTGTAGGTGCAGAACGACGAGCAGGGTCTGAGGGCTTTGGCAGGGAGCTCTGCTCTTCCGAGGTGGCCTCCACCAGCTCTTGGGAGAGGTCTCCGGCCCCAGCTGGTTGTACAGCTCCAGTCTGTAGCTGCGCAGCAGGCACAGAGGCAGGGTTTGCAATCTGAGTCACAAGGGAGACGCTCTCACTGCTCTCAGAGGGGCTCCCCTCTGCTGGGGCCGGCTCCGGAGGGAGGACAGCCCAGCTCTCCTCTGAGGGTCCCTTGTGAGCAGTGGGGTGCCTTCCCTCCGGGGCTGCAGAGGCACACTCTTTCTCTGCTGCTTCTGGCAATGTGACGTTTGCACAAGGCAGGGGTGACATCCCCAAGAACTCCTCTGTAGGAAGGCAGAAGAGAAGCGAGAGATGTTTCAGCAGGTGACATGCAGCTGGGTGGCTGCAGTGGGGCTGGGAGATGAATGTGGGGGAGTGAGGAGGAGCCACCACCCTCTCTAACTGCTGAGGTCTGCACCAGCCCTCCCACAGACCCCCAACCACCCAACCCACCTTCATCCTCTTCCCAGCTCGGCTCCTCTCGGTGAATGCTCTGCTCCGCTCGCTGCTTCAGAGCCTCCCTCCGGGCTTCATCCTGCAGGGATTCAGTGTCAGCAGCTCCCGTCCCAGCCCTTCCCTCCCCATCAGTGACAAGGGCACAGTCACAGCAGCCCAGATCCCTGCACCTCCAGGAAAAGCATCTCTGGTCTGCATCAGAGAGCTCCTTGGCTGGAGCACCCACCCTGGGGGTACACCCACACCCCCCCACCTGCTCCAGCCGATGCACTTTGTAGAAGTAGCGCTGCCAGAATTCCGAATGGGAAACAGCTGCAGGGACCTGGGAATGACACAAGAAATGGGATGAGTCACTTGAGAGGGAGGGCCGAGCTCCTTTCTCTTCCCCATCCTTACAGCCACCCTTTAACCTGTGCAAGGCACCTGTGTTTTCAGGGGCATAGGCTTGGGAAATGCTCTAACACATTGGAAGGCTACAGAGGAAGTTCTGTTCCAGGCCCGTGACAAATGAGAAGGGAAGAAGAATCCTAACCTCCATGGGCCACTTCAGTCTTTTCTACCACCAGCACCAGGGCCCAGCAGCTCAGGGCTTCCCTGCACCACACCCCAAGTGAGAAGCCAGGCAGGGCCATACCATTTTGGTGTAGAGAGCCCGGATGGAAGGGCTGGTTGCCAGCAGCTCCGCGATCTCCCCTTTTTTCTCCTCCAGGTTAAACTGAGAGAGCCAGGCCTCAAGGAGCTCAGCAGGGCCTGGAAAGGGCAAGCACAGAGATACCAGATCTTGGCACAAACAGGGCAGGAACAGCTTTGGGAAGTTTCACTGGGAAGATGTTACAGACCAGACTAGATGGGAGTGAGCAAGGGAGACCCAAGGAGGAGGGAGATGTGGGTCTCTGAGCCCATCCACTCTCATGGGTCCTGTGCCAGCAAGAGGCCATGCAGTGACCCAGCAAACTCTCAGTCTAAGCTAGTCCCCAGTGCAACAGACACATCTGCCCTTCATAAGCAGTGTTCCCTGTTGAGGCACTGAGAAAGGCTCTGAGCAGCCCTGTCATACCATCAGGTTCATTGCAGTACGTGGCTGGGTCTGACTGGAGGCTGTAGAGGCGAGCCTGGAGGAGAAGAGGCACAGGGCAGAGCTGTCAGCAATGCTGGGGTGGTAGATGAGCCCCCAAGGACAAGGGTCAGGACCCCACATCCCAGAGGGAAGCTCTCAAATGGGGCACTCACCTTGGCACTATCATAGGGCTCGGTGGTGCCCGAAGGGGTTGCCATCAATGTTATGACATCGCAGTCAATGGTCTTATCCGGCGAGGGAGCAAATGTGTTTGAGATGACACCCAGGAAGTCAGAGATCCCCTTCCTCACCTTTTCAGTTGCACCTGAAGAACCTTCGGTCCTCTTGAAAAGAAAAGGCAGCACAGGGTAAGTATACAGAATCATAGAATGGTTTGGGTTGGAATGGACCTTTAAGATCATCCAGTTCCAACCCCCTGCCATGAGCAGGGACACCTCAACACAGGTCACCCACGGCTCTGTCCAACCTGGCCTTGAACACTGCCAGGGATGGGGCAGCCACAGCTTCTCTGGGCACCCTGTGCCAGTGCCTCAGCACCTTCACAGGGAAGAACTTCCTTATCTCCAACCTGAACTTCCCCTGTTTCAGTCTGAACCCATCACCCCTTGTCCTGCCACCTCAGTCCCTGATGAAAAGTCCCTCTCCAGCATCCTTGTAGCCCCCTTCAGACACTGGAAGCTGCTCTGAGGTCTCCATGCAGCTTCTCCAGGGTAGACAGCCCCAGTTTTCTCAGTCTGCCATCCTATAGGAGGTGCTCCAGCCCCTGACCACCCTCATAACAGTGCCTGCGGCAGTAGGACAAGTCTTGCTCTCTCCTGGGTAAGTTCCTTTAAGAGAGGAGGGTGTTCCTCCTGTCAAATAACTGCTAACAAGGTGACTTGTGGCCAGGGCTGGACTAGAAGGTTGGGGGGGGCAGGCAGTCCTTAAAATAGGTTTGTGGGGAACCAAGCCTTGGTTTCGCAGGAAGGAGCAGCCAGGTCTGGGGACTGGATTGTCACTGTGGCAGCTGTGCAGGGCTAACGGCAGCAACTTGTGTGGAGGTCTGCTGCTGTGCTAGAGTGATGCCGCCACTATCCTGCTTACGTGGTGCACAGAGGAAGGGAAAGCACAGAGAACTTTCCTCCACTCATCTCCAGATGTTCCTCACCACTGCAGTAAGGAACCTACGCAGTGCTCAGCACCAAACCTGCACCAGGGAGAACATCTGGAACTTGAAGCTCATGGTTATATGGTGGGACTTACTCAGAGGACCTTGACCTTGGAGGTGGGTACATCCTACTGCCCCCCACTTTGCTTTCTGCAACAGGAATCCCAGCTCTTACATCCCTACTCACTGCCAGCTTGTCCTTGACCACGCTGGCTGTAGCAGCAATCGTGCAGGCTGTGTCATGCTGCACCACTTGTGTGAACTCAGCCAAGTCCCGCTTCATGAACTCCAAAGCTTCTGTGGACTGCAAGAAGACAACAAATAGATTGTGCAATCCTTCTGTGCTCCAACAAAGCCACGGTTGCTCTGGGAACACCAGTCATGTCACAGAGATTGAAGTGCCTTTAGCCCAACACGTGCAATAGGTAAGACTGCAATAACCTGAATAACAACAGGAACCTGCATGTCCAACACATGATGGAGGAGGATTAAATTAAGAATGCAAAAAGACACGTTAGGAAGAGCTTTGTTCTGAGTTTTGCATATAATTAACATAAGCACTGCTGTCACAGGCAGGAAATCCCAGAATCCCAGCCTGGTCTGGGTTGGGAGGAACCTTGAAGCTCCTCCAGCTCCAAACCCTGCCACGGGCAGGGACCCCTTGCACTGGAGCAGCTTGCTCCAAGCCCCTGTGTCCAACCTGGCCTTAAGCACTGCCAGGGATGGGGCACTGCAAAGCAGCACCGCGAGCACCTGCCCGCCCTGGTGGGTGGCGACCTCCGCACCCGCAGAGCCCCGCGCTGCGGCGGCCCCGGCCCCCGAGGCTCCCCCGTCCCGGTGCAGGGGCTCCCGCCGCCTCCTACCTTCTCCTTGACGGCCTGGTAGCTCTGCTGCAGCCAGCTCCGCCACCAGCCCGCGTCCTCCCTGCGGGGAACACGTGTGTGAGGCGGAGCTCGGAGCCCGGCCCGGCCCGGCCCCGCTCCATCTCCCCCCGGTACCCCGGTCCCGTCCCCACCGCTCTCACCCCTCCGCCATCTTGGCGGCGTGACGTCATCAATATTTACCGACCCCTCACCCCTCAGTGGGCCGCGGCTCTCGTGACGTCACTTCCCCTTCCTGCTCCTCCTCCGCGGAGGACGGCCCCGGTACGGCGGCCGGGCGGGAGCGGCGCTGAGCGGGGACCGCGAACCGGGATCGGGGTCTCCGCGGTGGTGGCTGTGGCTGGGGGGAGGTAGCGCGGCCCCTGCGGCCCGCAGCGGTTGTGGGTCCCGGAGTCCTCCTCCTTTCCCCCCCACCCTCCCCTTCCACTGACGGTGCGTTCCCGTTGTCCCCGCAGCGGCGGGAGCCATGGAGATGCAGTCGTACTACGCGAAGCTGCTGGGGGAGCTGAACGAGCAGCGCAAGAGGGACTTCTTCTGCGACTGCAGCATTATCGTGGAGGGGAGGATCTTCAAAGCGCACAAGAACATCCTGTTCGCCAACAGCGGATACTTCCGAGCGCTCCTCATCCATTACATCCAGGACAGCGGGAGGCACAGCACCGCCTCGCTGGACATTGTCACCTCCGAGGCCTTCTCCATCATCCTGGATTTCCTTTACTCCGGGAAGCTGGATCTCTGTGGGGAAAACGTTATCGAGGTGATGTCTGCAGCCAGCTACTTGCAGATGACCGACGTGGTCAACTTCTGCAAGACCTACATCCGCTCCTCGCTGGATATCTGCAGGAAAATAGAGAGGGAAGCGGCTTTCTATCAGGCTGATAGTGGGAGCACCGGGTCTGCCAGAGAGGGCACCTCCTTCAGCTCCAAGAGCCAGTGCTCTGCCTCTGTGTCCTCCCTGCAGGAGAAGGAAGGGATTTCGGATTGCCAGCAGGACCCTCCGTGCGGCGAGTGCAGTGGTTGCCATCCCCTGGAGCTCGTGGTCCGGGACCCCATCAGCAGCGACTCCCCGGACGATGTCAACTCCTCACTGCCCAAAGGGGTGGAACCCAAGGTGGAGTTTGACTCGGATGAGGTGGAGGTTGAGGTGGAAGCGGGTGAGCGGCTGCCGCAGTATCCGACCCCGCTGTCCCTGGAGCAGATGGAAGAGGGGCTGCACAGCGGGCAGGCCATGGACTTGGCCTGCAATAACTATCACATGAAACAATTCCTCGAGGCCCTGTTGCGCAACAGCTCGGCTCAGAGAAAGGAGGACGTGGTCCATCACTTTGTCCGGGGCTTTGAGGGTAGGCCAGAGGATGCAGGGGTGGCAGTGAGCTCCATGATGGACATTCACAGCGACTGGTATGGTGAGGACACAGGTGAGAGGACTCAGAGGGTGCAGTCTGTAGGTTGGAGGAGGCAACCACCAAGTGTGCGACTTCCTTTGTTACTCTCGTTCTTGTGCAGGAATATATTGCTGAATATTATGCCATAGCAAAATAAACTATTGTTCTGGACTCCCAAAGAGCTGTACTCCTTTATTCAGTGCAGCACATGGCAGGTAAGTATTTCTGGTGGCTCTTCCAGCCTCTCTGAGGTAGATGCTAAAGTTCAGTGTTGGTGGTAAGGCTTTAATAAACGATCTCAGCTGGGACCCGATTGAAAGGATTGTGAAAACGACTCTTCCTCTTGTAGCATTAGTGCTATAAAGAGCGATCAGGAAGATGAGTTGAGCTGCCACAAGAGGGATCTGCTGCAGAACTGACAGAGCAGAAGTATCTCATTCCACCGGAGCTCTTGCCAGCACATCAGCTGCTGGTGCTTTGAACTTCAAAAGGACAGAAATGGGTTTTATACAACACTGAGTGGTGCCCAGGAATTCCTTTCAGAGCACTGAAAGCTTTAAGCTCTGTGGTATTGCAGAAAGACAAGACTTAATTTTTACCTCGAGAGGCAGATTGGCTTTTCAGCTGGGCACCGGAGGTTCCACTGCCTCCTGAACCCCATGGGATGGGATGGCTCACACTAGCAGGAATATGTCCTAGCAGCAGTGGCAGAGAGCTGGAGGAAAGGAAGATCAGGTCCAGATGAGTTTCTCCTGAAATGGACAATAAGGATTTGGGCATTTTAGTTGCTTACAAAGATGGAGGCAGCTCTGACAGGCACTGCAAGTGTCATCACTGGTCAGGATGTGACAGATGCAGGAGTGGGTTGGGCACCAGGCAGGAAACCTTTCCCCAAGTGTTCTACTCTTACATAGCAAGTACACTCACATCACTTCCAGCTCCAGTGCACATGTGTGATCTTAAAGCAAATAAACCCAGTATATTCTCTTACTGCTTTAAAAGAAGGAATCTGATAACATCACGAGACACTGAAGGGCAAAGTTTGCCAGGACAGAGCCCTGTCACCACATTGTGCCTCTGGGCGGGGATGCGTAGCAAGGCAAGAGCATCTCACACACAGAATTCAGTTACCTTTTTTCCTCTCTTTAAGTCTTCAGACCATTAATGACTCACTAAAAGGGTGGTGCTTCTAGAATTGGATAGAATCAGGTGGTGTGAGAGTGGAAATGGAGTGGTAGATGTGCTTTAAACAGGAGTGAGCCCTCAAACATGCCTTAGGTCTGTTTCTCTGCTAAAACCAAACATCGAGGATGTTTAGTGGGATGGGAGTATCTCTCCTCACCTTTCAGTGCTCCTGCTGTCTTAGCATTTTCAGAAGACGCCAGGAATGAGAAATACAAAGTTGAGATGAATACCAGTGACTTTCATGTGTCCACATCCATTCCTGGTTTCCTTCACCGTGGAGGGAGGGGGAGCAGGCACCTTGGAAGAGTCTGGAGCAAGGCAGGAATAGGAACTGGGTTTCTTGTTTGCTAAATGGAGCTCTAACCACCCAGCAGGGATTAGCAACACCTTGTGAAGGTCCCAGATCAGGTGAGATGGGTTTCACTCACATGTTAATACATTTAGACACTCCTCTTGGGGTTCTTTGAGACTGGGTTGGACAAACCTCAGTACAAGGAACGTTCCACAGCCTGGTGTAACTGACATAGCTCAAGGCTCAACACACAAACCCTTCCCTGGGTCAGCACTTGAAAACCTGAAACAGGGAAAACAGATCTTGTAGTGTAACATCCCAGCCTTTATGCTGGAGGGGAAGCTCATGCCTGGGCTGCTGCTGCACAACTCTGCAATACCCATGGTTATGGAAAATGTGATCTTCGATTTTAATCCTCTTTTTTTTTTGCCTGACTTCATAAATTACGTATTACTTGTGTTCATAGAGTTTAATTTCAGAAGGAAAATATCCTCAGCAAATGTATTGGAGCCCTTCATCGTGTTACTACCAGTAGAAAGGCTGAAGTGACTGGCAGTAGAAACAAGCATTCCTGTTTCCAGATGGGCTCCCCACACCTCAGTTTAGGCATTTCATAAAAGCGCATGGGCATATTGTGCTGCTACTACGTGTAATTTGTGGTTTTAGGATTTAATGCTGCTTAATGCTAATGGTGTCTTAGAAAATGGGAGACTTTGACAGCGGAGATGGTGCAGAGACCCCACTGCACGAAAGGCAAATGTTTGGTACTTAATTAAATGGCTTCTTAAAAGCAAATGAATGTGTTGAGAGCCAACTCCCTCAGAGCAGCAGCTGTGTAGGTACAGGCAGGCTGAGCTTTCAGGGATGCCATCACCTGCAGCTGTGTTAATGTCTTCTGGAACTGCACAACCTCCAGCAATCCCAGGTAAAGGAAATGTGGAGGGACAGGACAGTGTGGTTGTCTTGACTCATGTATGCAGCAGGGAGGACAAGGAGCTACCACTTGAAATCTGCCTCACCTAATGCAGTGTGTTTCTCCCCCAAAGGTGACGTGTTAGTGGTGCCCATCAAGCTTCACAAATGCCCGTTCTGCCCCTACACAGCAAAGCAGAAAGGAATCCTGAAGAGGCACATCCGCTCCCACACGGGTGAGCGGCCCTACCCCTGCGAGACCTGCGGGAAGCGCTTCACGCGCCAGGAGCACCTCCGGAGCCACGCTTTAAGTGTAAGTTGGAAGGATTCTGTCTCTCTGGGAGCTTTGGCAAGTTCTTGGTGTTTCCTGATTTCCCAAAATGTGGTGTTCAAAGTGGTTGTTGCTGATGTGAGATTAACTTGTCTAGGAGTAAGTAATAATAGTAATAACGCATAGTGCAAGGTCCTGCCCCTGGTTCGAGGCAATCCCAGGCACAACTACAGGTTGGTGGAGAAGTGATTACGAGTAGCCTGAGGAGAAGGATTTGGGGGTGTTGATTGATTTGAAACTGAACATGACTCAGCTTCAGTGTGTGCTCACAGCCCAGAAACCAGCCATGTCCTGGGCTGCATCAAAAGGAGCGTGACCAGCAGGTCAAAGGAGGTGATCCTGCCCCTAAGCTCTGCTCTCATGAGACCCCACTTGCAGCATTGTGTGCAGTTCTGGTGTCCTCACATAAGAAGGACATGGAACTGTTGGAACAAGTCAAGAGGGGGCCACGAGAATGATCAAGGGCTGGAGCACCTCCTGTATGGAGCCAGGCTGAGAACATTGGGGCTGTTCAGCCTGGAGAAGAGAAGCCACGTGGAGACCTCAGAGCAGCTTCCAGTGTCTGAAGGGGTCTATAAGGATGCTGGAGAAGGGCTCTTCATGAGGGACTGTAGCAATAAGACAAGGGGTGATGGGTTCAGACTGGAACGGGAAATTCAGGTTGGATATAAGGAAGAAATTCTCCCCTGTGAGGGTGCAGAGGCACTGGCACAGGGTGCCCAAAGAAGTAGTTCCATCCCTGGCAATGTTCAGGAACAAGTTGGACAGAGCCTTGGGTGACACGGTCTAGTGTGAGGTGTCCCTGCCCATGGCAGAGGGTTGGAACTGATGATCTTAAGGTCCTTTCCAACCCAAACCATTCTGTGATTATAAGTTTAAGCCACAGATAGTTGAGTTGTTAGTACTTGTGTAGCTCCAAGTATGGAGCTACTTGGGGTTTGTGTAGTCCCAAGTATGATGGGATCACCTGCCCTTTAGCTGAAGCAGAGGTGTTCTTCTGGTGCAAAGAGAACCCCAGAAGGAGCTAAAGGAGGCAGATGGCCTTTTTTACCGGGGTGTTTTCATTTTAACTTCAGGTGCATCGATCAAACAAGCCAATCATCTGCAAAGGCTGCAGGAGAACCTTCACAAGTAGCCTGTCGCAAGGGTTGCGGCGCTTCGGCTTGTGCGACAGCTGTACCTGTGTGACCACCACCCACGAGGACTCGATGCCCATCAACCTCAGCCTAATGGAGCAGTCATCAGAAGGCCAAGAGAAAGGTGATGCCGATAACGACTGGCCTATATATGTGGAGTCTGGAGAGGAAAACGATCCAGCCGATGATGAGGATGCTGATGGTGATGACAAGCAGGAGATCCACAGGAGCTTGTCAGACCGAGAAACACTTATGTAGCAGTGAGAGGAGAATGGGAGTGTTTGAAGCGTCTCTGTGACAGTGGTCAGTCTGTGACACAAGACTGAGTATTTGCCCAGTTAGTGAGACTGTGCTGTTTTTTATCATTCCATTTTTTAATAGAAAGTGGGGAGAATTGGAATTTTTAATACTTTTCAGTGCTGTGCACCAGAAATCTGTGAAGAATCTGCTGCCTGGGGTTCATTGAGGTTGTACTTGAGCAATCTCCAGTGGTGTCTCTGCCTCCTAGTCTTGATTTTATGGGTGGAACATCTCTGTGTGTTTTGATAACAGGTCTCTTCAAATAATGCTGTCACGGTCCTTAATCCCTGATCTGAAAGGGGCCCCATCTCCTCTCTGAAGATCACATTAAAATGAGTGTGTTTTTCACCCATCATCTTGGACCATTTCTAAGCTAAGTCGCGATCCTTTTGTAGTAGGACAGTATTCTCCAAATTGTAAAGGTTAAGGGTTTATTTAGAGTGGATTTGACCTGGAAACCAGGGCAGACACCCAGGAGAACAAAACCGTGCTGCTGCTGAGAGCATAGACAGTAAGAGTACATACATTTCATCTGACCTTAACTTTGCAGGTATTTAGAAAAGAAGCGTCTCCTTCTCAATTGCTTTTACTGCAGCTTCCTCTCTCAAGAGCTCAGCCTCCAGAGCTTCAGATGTGTGTCTGATGTTGTTTAGACTTTGGTAGTCTTGGCTTAAGCACACGTTATGGTGTTGTGTGTCCTGGTCTTTCCATTTAGATTGAGTGAACTGCCCAGTTCTCTTCAGCTTTTCATGGTAGAAGTGGAAAGCTGTCAGTCAGGTCCTGTGGGAATTGAGGTGGTGGCAGATGAAGTAGCCACATTCACCACTGGTGTAGCTGAGGAGTAGTTAAATATAAATGTCTGAGCTGTGTGTATAAAAGAGCTCTGATGACCCTTTTTGAAGCTGTTGGGTAGGAAACCTCAGAGTTTTTTACTAGTCTCTTTGTACGCAAATCCTTTTCTTTCTCTTTTACTCTATTTTCTTTCAGTCTTTGATGATCCTTCTCATGGTTTATGTTATTGTGTGAATTTATCCAAGTATTTGTGTTGTTTTGTTGTTTTAAACAAAACCCTCTGGTGTAGACCTCCTGCTTCTTTGCTGAGATAGATAAAGGCTGGTTTCCAAAGGAGGTGAGATCTTCTTTACCTTTCCAGTAGCAAACTGATAAAAACTATTCAAGATCAAGCTGGGAGGCTTTAGAAGAAAACACTCCACCACCAGAAAGCCTGTTTGCTTACAGATAACCTCCTGTTTCCTAACGAAGAGGCAAAACTGAAATATACTGTGAAATAAGACTGTTAATGCTTCTTTACTGTGGTGTTCATGTGTTTCCATGAAAAGGCAAGTTGTAGGAGTCTTTCTGGCTGGAGTAAGTGCTAGATCAGAAGCCTGTGGCTGACTAAGAGTGAGCAGTTCCTCCCACTTAACAAGGCAGTGAGTGCTTCCTCAGGTTTTAGGGTAAAGACTTTACACTTTCCAAACATCAGACAGAACCCAAAACCCGAAGAGCCCTCTGATTTAACCAGTTGGATTCTTTTTGCCCATCTTATGCTTTTATTTGACATACTGAAAAAGAACAATTCAGCTTCTCTGTCTGCTCCATCCTGCAGTGATGTTGTAATTTCCTTGGGGGCAGTGATTCTGGTCTCACAAATGCAGTTGAGAATTCATTGCCAGATGGGGTAGGTTGAGGAGAGAAGAAACAAGCTGCTTTTGAAGCCAGCACTTTCCTGGTGATTCTTGAAAACAGCAGAAGGGAACAAGACTTGCTTTGAAAGGATCTGGTCTTGAGTGCCACCTTCGCAAGGAGATCCTGGCATCACAGGCTGTAATTTCAGTTGCTTGAGCTTTCAGTAGCCCCTATTCCAGGTCACCTGTAGATCGGAGCTTGTAGCAGCTGAACAGTGTCATACTGACACAAATCATCCTAGAAAAATCACTGGGACATCATCTTTGAAACCTGAGGGCTCTGTTTTAGTAATCTAAATCGAGACCATCAAATGCCAGCTCATGTAGATGCCAAAGTTGGAGCCAACCTCTGGTTTTGGGTCCTTGGGGGTTTTGAATATCTGAGCAAAAGAAGGGGCTGTAAATCTTGGTGGCACATTGCAAACCCCCCTGCAGCTGACCAGGGCTAAGCCTTTGGGGTACCACTAGATCTTTGTTGAGTCCATGCAACATCAGAGGGTATTTTTGGGGATTATCTGCTTAAGGGTGAACTTCTGCATGTGAGAACACTTGGAAAAGAGTCAGATTATCTGTGCTGGGAGACAAACTTGCAAATGGAAGTGGGTAAGAATGTAAATAGGGATCCAAACTGGTATTTGGTGGCCAGGCATCCCCATTTCTGTTCGTTCTGGCATGAAGGTGCCACCTGATTGTAAATATTGGTAGAAGCCACTCGACATGGACTATTGGCCAAGCGTGGTTCTGGCTGGTGCAGCACAAACTGCTGGGAGATTCAGCTTCTCCCATGGCTGACTCTGAAAGTGAAGACACTCAGAGTAGGGAAAACGAACCTCTTGTGAAAGTCTGTGTTGTAAGAGCTGCAGGAAGAGACCTTCAGCCCTTTTACTTGAGCTTTCCTTGGTCTTAGAGATTGTTCTTGTGTGTCTTGTGCGTAGAGAATGGCGCTGTGCTGAGGTGTGTGTACCATGGGGAAGGGGTGCGGGTGGGGGGTTCACGTGCCGGGCTGAAGGTGACCACCACAATGGTGTTTCCTGTTGAACTGTCATGTTGTGCTGCTTCGTTTTCAGTGGAGTCCTTCAGCCTTTGTACTTAGGATGTAGTTTAGCCCCGTTCTTGTGACCGGGTGTTCATGTAAAGCTGTTTGCTGTGCTTTCCACTTAGGTTTTTGAATGTTTTTCTTCAAACCATTCACTGTAGATGCAACCTCCACAAGCTTTGAGAAGAGGATGTGGCTGGTTTACAATATTCATATGGTGCTTGATGAAGAATCAAAAATAATGGGTTTAGGGAAGTTATTTCTAATACAATCTTTTTCTCAAAGGTTTTTAAAGGCCCTGCAGACTTGGTAACTTGAAATCTTGGCTCGGCCTCACTGACTTTGTTTGGGATTATGTGTTTGAATGGACTTTTGCACATAAGTGCACTGTATTTCATGAAAGGGATACATGCTGCACTGGTATTTGTGGTGCATTAAACATCTTGGTGCAAGACCTTGTAAATCTTCCAAATGTGGTCGTTGAATTTCCTGCTGTTTTGTAAGGCAGTTTCATAACTGAGGTCCTTTGGTCTAGATGAACTGAGGAATTCTTAGAAACCAACCTTTGTTTGTAGAAGTGACTTAACTATTCTCTGGATCTTGGAGCTTTTTGATTGTCTAGAAAATAAAACTCTCCATGAGGGTTGCTTTGATTTATTATTTTACCATTCAGAAGTTGCCTGAGCAAACCTGGGAGTGTCTGGAATAAGGCTCCAGTTTGAGTTCTGGGGATGAGAAATGAATATATCCATTTCTGGTGACTGTTTGCAAGCAAGATGTAGAGTCTTGGTAGGAAAGGATGAAAAGGAAGCTGCCAACTTGCAAACCAGCTGACTTTGGGGAGGGGGGTGGGTTAAAATATCTTTTCTAGTAAGAGCCCTGGTGCCCTCAGCAGTTGTTGCAGTTTTATAATGACCTGAACTTTTCAAACTCTTTAAAGCTTTTACTTTTCCATGTTGGGTGAGCAAAAGCCACCCAAGTGGGCAGCAGCCACTGGTCCTGGCTGGAAGAAAACCCTGTCAAAGACCTACAATAAAATGGGTGCAGGAGCAGGAGCAGCCTCCCCAGTATTCTGTCTAGATCATTTGAAATTATATTGGCTGTTTCACAAACTATGAGATTTAAAATGTGGATTTACTTGTTGATTTGGAATGTCCTGAATCAAAGAAAACCAGAATAACCCCTTCTTCCTTTCCACTGTTTTCATTCAAGCAGTGAAATCTGTTCACTTCTCTTGCGATCTGTAGTTTAGACTTTTTGGTTCAGAAATGCCTGGGAATTCTTCATTTGGTAGTATAAAGGTTTTTGGATTCAGCTGAAGTTGCCTGTGAAACACCCCTTCAGGTGTTCACACAGCAACCTCTTTGGGGTTTGTTAGTTGTTAGAGGCAGGTGTTTGGGTACTGGTAAATGAAAGAATTAAACCAAACCAAACGGCCACCCCAAAAAAAGCCTCTCACAATAATGTGCCATACACAGGAACTGTAAATGCTGTCCCCAAACACCCCAGGGCAGTATACTGGAGGCCAGATCTATCTGTCCCACCTGAGTCTCATGCATCCAACTCAGTTTGCTTTCAGGCTTTCTCTGAATGTCCGTCTTTGACACTTTGTTCCTGTTTTCACTCTCCTTTTGCTGTTTACTGAACTTTAAAATGTAGCAGATGATGATTATGAGCAAAAAGTGCTCCAGTACAAGCAAAATAAGGGTACTTCTAAAACCAAAACCAGCCAAGATAATGCAGTATCCAATGTTAAGCAGATTTGAGGAGAAAGCAGAGTACCAGAAGGAAGGGGCTGATAGCCAGCACTCTCCTTCCATAGGGATTTGGGATCAATAGTTCTATGTGGGAAGGAGATGCTCTGAGCTGTGGGTCTCTGTGGTGTCAGCTTTGCAGCACTCACAGTCAGTCCGGGACACGCTCTGGGGGGCTGTGTGACCCCAGCAGCCTTTTCAGGTTTAATAACTGGATGTTTTCCATGGATCAGTAACAGAGGTGCTGATGTTTTCTCACAAGTGTACCTGCCCCACTGTGGGATGTGCGTGAGGGTGGAAGAAAGAAAACCAAATTGAACCAAAGCTGAGAATTCCTGTGCATCGCCACCACACGTTTACCCTTCGTAAGGGGTGGGGATCACATCTTTAAGTGCTTTTTGTAATGGTGTTTTTTTCTACAGTGGGGCATTACTGAGTTCATCTTTACTCTATGTTGTGTGTACACTATATATGTTTATATCGTTGTATGTAGTCTGGTTCTTTTCTAGTTAAAGAACAGAAAACATTAAATAAATACTAATCTCGCAGTAAATCTACTTTTATCCCCCATTTTTTTTCCATAGAAAATGAGTATTTTTCCATGTCTAATTGAATTCTCTTGGCACAGGGTTAGGATTTGGGTTTCTGGTGAAGCTGCTCACAGGTGATGCTTGTGCTGCCTCTGCTAATGCCACATCAAACCTCAGATTTCCCCAGGCTCTGTGCTCTGTTGAAGGTGGGCTGCTGGGTGTGCTGGCAGAGGGAAGATTCTTCCATGTGCTCAGTGCTTTGGGATTACCACTTCCTTTCCGTCTTGAAAAGTGATCTTCTGGTGGCTTGGAGGCCAAACAAGCGTTTGTGCCAGAAGACACAAGGATGCAGCTGGGGATCTTCATGCAGAAATGACATTTGGTTACCAAAACCCAGGTCAGCCAATGCAGAATGTGGGTTAATAATTATTGTGTCAGCTTTAGGTCATTTTAATAAAGTGCCCAGAGAAGCTGTGGCTGCCTCATTCCTGGCAGTGTTCAAGGCCAGGCTGGATGAGGCTTGGAGCAAGCTGCTCTAGTGGAAGGTGTCCCTGCCCGTGGCACTGGATGAGCTTTAAGGTCCCTTCAGCCCAAACCAGTCTGGGATTCTGTGTTTTTTTCCTAGCTTGGACCCTCTCACTCTGCAGACAAAGCTGCACCAGACTTTGATCCTTTCTCTTTTCCCTCCCTGACCCACTGCAGGTTCCTGTTACATTCTGCAATGAGTGTGCACCATTAACAGCAAGAGCTGTGAGGAGCTGGGGGCTGAGGTTGTGCTGCGTTACCCTCAGCAGGGAAGGACAAGGACAAGGATGCTGATAGTCTTTGGAATCACTTCTGCTGGTCCCCTCTTGAGCCTGTGATGTAAAAGCAAGACAAATGACAGGAAATCTGCAGGTGACGGAGAGCAGAGGATGAGCATGGACCTGTGAGGTGCCATGGCTGGAGGAGGCTGCTCAGGTGTAGGTACACCCCATGGAAGCGGCTTCAGTTGATAATTAACACCGTTGCCCAGTGGACTGCAAAGATCCATGTGAAATACTGTGTAAATTCCAGCTGCTTTCGTGTTCAAGGATGATTCATCCAGCTGGTCAGGTACAGAGCAGGATCTGTTGGGGTCTTGCGCAAGAAAAGGTCTCAGGGAAGGTTTTAAAGCGCATTTAAAGGGAGATAGAATCTCCACACCCACAGCTTCAGATGGTTTAAGAAAGGATGTTCGTTAAACAACAGGAATTAGACTGGTGAAAACCATTATTCAGAGAACTGGGTACAAGTTGAATATGAGTAATTGTATAGGATACACTGGCAGAATGTTTGTATCAGGAGAAAGAGTATTTAGATGTCTTTTGCTACAGTGGGGAAAGGAACAACCATTGTTTCAAGATGGCGCAACTTGAGTTATGGAAAAGAAGGCTGGAAAGGACACAAAAGGTAAGGGAGGCAGAATGGCTCCCATGGGAGAACAAGTATTTGTGAGAAATAACTAGAGTGTCAAGAGCACCAAAAAGAGAAGACCCTGGGGGTAAGAAGAGGAAGGAGAAAGAAACCAAACTTCGACTGGGGGAAGGTGAGAGGGGCAGGTACTGGGTTTGTTCAGATCCCAGATATGCACATGGAAAAGCCGGCGTTGCGTCTCGTTTAGAGGAAGCTGCAAAGTGAAAAAGAGAGGATTTGGGTCACCAAGGCTCCTGCTGCTCGTGAAGGTGTGAGCAGGGCGCGCTTGGGGCACCGCCTGCCTCCCGGGCGGCCAGTGGGTGCGGGGGCGAGGCGAGCAGCCCCGGCTGCGGGCGGGCGGACGGAGGCAGCCGCTGGGCTGCGCCTGCAATCGGTGCGTTGCCCCTTTAACTGTGTCCCCGGCCCTCGGGCGTCTCTGTCCAACGCCCACGTCAGCAAATACCTTTTGTTTCTCTCCCGTTCGGGCTCTCGGGGCTGCGGGACCGGCGCGTCGCCTCCAGCCAGCGCCAGCCCCGCCGCGGGGCCGGGATCCCGCACCCACCGCCCGCTCCCTTTGGATCAGCGGCAGCCGCCCGCAGGACCCGCCCGCTCCAGCACGCCGGTAAGGCCGGGCCGGGCGTTGCGATTTGGGGGCGGAATCGACGCCGGAGCGAGTCCCGCTGCGAGGGCGGCTCCGGGCTCCTCGGGCTGCGGGCTCCGTGCCCTCAGGTTCCCGTGCGCTGCGGGGTCCGTGCGCGGCGGCCCCGCGGAGCCGATCGTGGTTTGGGCTGCGCGGCGTCCTCGGCGGGCGCCATTTGCAGCCCCGGGCGCGGCTGGAGGGAACCGGGCGCGGCAACAAAGGGCTGCGCGGGAGCGGGCGGCGGGGCGCGGCGGGAGGGGCGCCGGCAGCGCGGGGAGGCTGCGGCCAACCTGGGCGGCCGCGACTCGGGACACGCCGGGCGGCGGCGGAGCGGCAGCCGGGGCTCCGGTACCGCGGGCGGCTCCGGGCTGCACGCCCAGCCCAACGCAGCCCAGCCCTGCCCTGCCCAGCCCTGCCCAGCCAAGCCCTGCGGAGGGCAGCGCACGCTCTCCCGGAGCACCGACGGTCGCGGGCGCTGCGGTGCCCGCCGTAGGATCGGCCCCGCGCAGCCACCAGGCGCCTCCGCGCTTCGGCGGGCGGGTCCGGCGGCGCCGGGCGACCCGGGCGGCCGAGGGCTGAGCGGCCAATGCGGCCGAGCTGGCGGGTGAGTGACGGCGGCCTCTGCCAATGCCGGCCGGGAGGGCTGCGCCCGCTGGGGCGCCGCGCCGGGTCCCGGTTCTGGTCCGTTCTGGTGGCGATGCGGTACCGGCGGCTGGCGGCGAGGACGCGGTCCCGGTCCCGGTCCGGGGGAGCTGCAGCGCTCCTCGTCTTCCCAAATAGCGTGTGGCGGCCTCGGAGCCCCGCGGGCTGTACCCCTCGGCCCTGCAGCCTCGGAAGGAGACGTTGCCGGCTGCAGCACAGGCGTCTCCGCCGCACGGCGTGTGCCTACTCGGCTGCTCCATCGCGGTTCTCTCCTGGGAACGTCCGTCTGTGCATGCTGTGATTCAAATAAATCAGATTATTCGTAAGGGTAACTGCAAAATCGGACCTGACATCGTTGGATGAGTTGCACAACGCTGAAGTCGAGAGACTGAATGGTTTTCTTTATTTTTCAGAGCAACGTTTCGTTTCAGCTGCTCTGGAATGGAGATTTCTTCTCACCAGTTTCACCTCTTGCAGCAACTGAATGAGCAGCGCAGGCAGGACTTGTTCTGTGACTGCAATATCCTGGTGGAGGGGAAGGTCTTCAAAGCACATCGCAATGTGCTCTTTGCCAGCAGTGGCTATTTCAAGATGCTGCTCTCTCAGAGCTCAAAGGAGACGAGCCAGTCGACGACAGCCACATTCCAGGCGTTTTCTCCTGACACATTCACAGTTATCCTGGACTTTGTGTATTCAGGGAAGCTGTCTCTGACGGGTCAGAACGTGATCGAGGTCATGTCTGCTGCCAGCTACCTGCAGATGACCGACGTTATCAGCGTGTGTAAAACCTTCATCAAGTCCTCCCTGGACATCAGTGAGAAGGAGAAGGATCGTTACTTCAGTCTGTCAGATAAAGATGGCAATTCGAATGGTGTGGACCGGTCCTGCTTGTACAGCTCAGGCTGGAGGGCGGAGGGCAGCCCCCCACACTCACACTTGAGTCCAGAGCAAGGGACGTGTATGATGGGTGGGAATGCATGGAGTGGTTTCAGCTACTACCCAACTCCTCCGAGGAACACCTCACAGCAGCTGTCCAAACACGAGCAACGGCAGGACTCTGGGAAGAAACCCCGGCACCCGGGGCCACAGCCGCCCTCTGACATCCTGCACTATAAGTCCAGTAAGCTGGAGGAGAGGGCAGCTGAGCCCAGCGGACACAGTGCTCCAGCCGAGGAGCAAGTTCAGATTGAAGCAGAGGCTGAATCTCCTCATGTGGGCTACCAGTACGGGCAGGGCTCTGATGTGATGCCAAGGAGCCTGGCTGTGCCACAGCCAGAGCATGAATCACCCCGTTCCTCCAGCAAACTGAAGGCTTCGAAGGCAGAAGAGCAGTACCCGAGCATGCCCTCCATCCTAGGAGTCATGGGCAGCTGGGCTGAAGGTGAGTGACCACTAATGCTGCAGGGGCACGGTCACCTCTCTGCATAGGTTCTGTCTGCAAGTAAATGTGCTTTACTGAGTGTCCAGTATCCACAAAGCCAGCTGATTGTCCCGAAATCTAAATTTGGAAAGTTTAAGTCTTAATTTTGACATTTTGAAGTACATGGTTTATTAAAACTTTAAAAGTAGCGGCTCTACAGCTTCATCTTATGAATTTAATTTGGGATCTTTTGGGATATTTTCCAGCTTGTTGTAATAAAGCCAACAGCCCCCTCCTTTCACTCCTGTGTGACATACAGGAAAACACAAGATCTCTGTGCTTGGAAAGACCTATGAGTATATTTTCCTAATACAAATTTGCCAGTCTGCTCTGTAGAATGCCTTTTCTTGAGTGTTACATGACTAGATGTGTTATCATAGAATCAGACTGGTTTAGGTTAGAAAGGACCTTAAAGAGTTCCAGCCCTCTCTGTGGGCCTCACACTAGACCATGTTGCCCAAGGCTCTGTCCAACCTGGCCTTGAACGCTGCCAGGGATGAAGCATTAACCACTTCTGTGGGCACCCTGTGCCAGGGCCTCACCATCCTCACAGGGAAAAACTTCTTTATATCTGACCTGAACTTCTCTTATTTAAGTTTAGACCCATTCCCCCTTGTCCTATCGCTCCAGTCCCTGATGAGGAGTCCCTCTCCAGCATCCTTGTAGCCCCCTTCCGATATAAATCTATTTCTTTTTCCAAATCACCTTGTTTCCTAGCAGACGATCTGCCCAGGATGAGGTTCAAGTGCCCGTTCTGCACTCACGTGGTGAAGAGAAAAGCTGACCTCAAGCGGCACCTGCGGTGCCACACAGGGGAGCGGCCGTACCCCTGCGAGGCATGTGGGAAGAGGTTCAGCCGACTGGACCACCTCAGCAGCCACTTCCGAACAGTATGTACCCCAGGAGCTGCATCATTTGCTTAACATGTAATTAACCACAGTATGGATGGAGCTGCGTGATACGGTGACTCCTGTACAGAAGGGGTAATAGGGAATTTGGGTTTGCTGAAGTGAGTTTGAGGCATATTTTGTATGAAAGTGGATGAATTTGTTTGTTAACTGATGCTCACAAAGGTGCAGAGCTGAAGCGGGCAGTTACTGCCTCTCAAAATGAGTTAACGCTGCCATTTCACACTACTCCAACCCTACTTTTTGTCATCTTAAGCCCCACTTCTTTGTGGATACATTATCAAATCCATTCCTTTCCATTTTCCCAGATTCATCAGGCTTGCAAGCCCATCTGCAGGAAGTGTAAGCGCCACGTGACGGAGCTGACGGGACAAGTGGTCCAAGAGGGGACAAGGCGCTACAGACTCTGTAACGAGTGCTTGGCTGAAGCTGGCATAGACAGTATCCGCATTGACTTGGAGGCGGAAGCACCCCTGGAATTTCCACCAGATGGAGACAAGGATTCCAGGTGGCACTATGGGGAAGATAACAGATCGGATGTGGAGATCGTGGAGGATGGGTCAACCGACTTGGTCATTCAGCAAGTTGATGACAGCGAGGATGAAGCAGACGAAAAGGAAGTAAAACCAAACATTAGGTAGCTGCAAGACAAGAACTAGGAATTCCCTGTCAGAGGGGAGAACGCACTGTCTTGACAATACACCCTCCACCAGCCTGTTGTTAACCATATGGAGACAGTGGTTTCTCCTGAGCAGGTCCAGACTTGCATGTATCTGTGGACATGCCGTTGCATCTATCCTGAGTTCTGTGATCAAAAGACCCATATTTGCTTCACCAGAGATGATCCATCCTTAGATAATGGATGAAGAAGAGAACTGAAGTACTACATGGATAACTGTACAGGAGACAATGGGTCACTTCTCAGACCCTCTTTCAAGAGAGTGAGGTCTAAATACTTTAGAAAGTCACACACCACGAGATTGCCCATTCTTTAAACTAGCAGAGACGTGGGGTTTCAATGTAACATCTGGTGATTCAATAAGTATAAATACCCTGACACCAGAATATAAAGACAACCTCTCTTCAGTATTCAGAAATGAAGATAATCTTTCATGAAGTCTTCACATTCATTATAAGGATAAAAAGGCAGCTAATTGACAAAAAGCATATCAAAATGTTTTAGCACATTTGTCTGGAAAAGCACTTTCTTGTAACGTTTCTTAGAGTCTGGAGAATCTTTAGCAGATGGTTCATTCAAGACCTATTTCTTTACAAGAGAATAAACACATGAATGCTAGTCCTAGTCAGCACATCAGAGAGCAAGTGATCACAGATGAGGATCATTGCTTGATGCCAGTAGATGTTTTATTCATTCTGGAATTTGGGAACTCAGACTAGGCTCTCTTTTACTAAGGACCAGTAAAATACTTTCTGGTTTTTAAACACCCCTCAGAAGTGCCAGACTGCCATGGCTGGCAGCCCTGTGCCCGCAGCTTGCTGATGGCAGTGTCAGCCTCTCCATGCCGCCACGAAGGAAACAATCCTTCAAGGTTACTTTAGTTGGTGTTTTCCCTTTGTCCCCTCTTTTATTTGCCAGTCCTGGTGGCAGAGCAATTTGTACAGTATATATACCATAGCACTAGACATGGAACCGAGGAGATCCATCTGAAACCATTGACAACTCTTGTTTGTATTGACCTGTGCTCAGGTTAAACTGGTGAGTTTTAAGATGGAATCATTATCAGTTTCTATATCCCCAGTGTCATTCACTCAACCTTTTGCAGTCTGTACCATATGCCAGTGAGAATGAGATGTACCAGGAGCTCTAGACATCATATTTGTGTAATTTCACCTACGGTTAGACTCCAAGAAATGACTAAAGGTGAAGAAAGTTTATGTCTGTAATGAAACCAGCCACTTGGATTTGGTTCTTAGGGAGTTTACAGTATAAATGGGAGAGGAGCAGAACAATGCTCCTGGGTGCTGCTACTCTGTGTTTGCTCAGGCAGACCCAAGTATGAACACAGCCTTCATCCTACAACCATTGAACTCATGGCTATAGGCTTAGAAACCTTTAATTCTTTTCCTTTATACAAGTTTGTAAGCATGTTTGGCTGAAAGCTGGGATTGAGTACAGACAATCCCATATATACACTATATAATCTCTTTGCCAGGGACTGCTCAAAAGTCACTAGTTTATTTTTATTTGTGTAAAAACTGTATAGCTTTATCACTATCATCCGTAGCAGAGAGCAGCATTTTCATGCCAGGCTGCAGATGGCAGCTCGTGGGTCTCACACAGCAGATCGAATGCTTCCTGCTAAGTTCAGTGGAAGCATTGAGCACTCTTCCCTTGGAGGAGCATCTGCTTCATCTGCTCCATGGAGATGGGATAGGGTATTTTGAGTGTTCCTACAGGAATTATCATCTGTTGGCTTAGATTTGGGATGGGGGGGTAAAGTGGGGGGCTTGGAAATCTTTCTGGTGATCCATATGAAAGCGTCTTTTCCAAAGAAGGCTTACACTTGTTTTGATTTTCTGTTCCACTTGGGTCAGGAGTCCACAGAATGGACTGAATGGGACACCAGCGGGGTGATTCCTTGGAGCTAATTATTCCCAAAATACATATTAATAAATGGCTGAGAAACATTCCTGAGCAACCTCAACTAAATCAAATATAGAACAAAGAAATATATGAGCGAATGTGGAATGACTTTTAGCAAACTTCAAGAGAGAATGCTTGCTGATATCAAGTTTAATAGATCTTTCCATTTCCCTTTACATGAAACACAATAAACTGAAGGTATCTGTACCTGGTGTCCCAAGGGGGGCTGGGATTAGTCTCTGTGCGTGTTTTGGGATGGATTACGGGGAGGGGAAAAGAAAGTGCCACTGTAGGTATGAAATCTGAGCTGCCGACTATAAAGATGAGGCTGCTCCTGAACAGTGGGAGCATTTTTAGGAGCAAAGGGATTTTGAGATCAATACTCCAGCTAATTGGGTACCATAAATCTAAGGATACTGAGGACCAAACGCTTCAGAAAATTATGTGAAGTGGCTGTAAGTGGGCAAATGGAACAATCTATCCATGTGAAGGCATTTCCTTTTTAAATACAGGCAGATTAATTGTTGATTTGCCTGGCAAATAAGGGGGTTACTGCTTTGATACATTATTTGCATTCTCGGTAGCATAACTAGATGGCTGTAGTAATTTTTAAAGTATCTTGCTAAGCTTTAGCTCCAGACTGCCATTCCCACAGGTCAGTTGTGGCTTGTATTTTAAAGAGGTTACCAGTTTTACATTTGTTGCCTTCATTTCAGTTGTTGTTCCCTTATTTTTGTATTGCAAGACAAGATAAATGTTAAGTGCCTTCTGTTTTTGACGTCCTTCATTGTACATAGCCAGTCATATATTTGTTTGTCCTTCTCTTACATGTAAGTAAATCCTCTCTGTTTTCTGCTCATCTCACATCTGCTGTCTTCATCATGTACCTGTGAGGATCACACACCACTCCTTAGCAGAAGTAACATTTTCTTTTCAAGGAGAAAAGTAAAGATCCTCCAGAGCTGTTCCCACAGGGTTTAATTTCCCTGGCAATAACTGATTTGAAGGTGTTGCTCTTAGACCTATGTCAGGTCTGAGGTAGGACACCTGGTTTTATCTTTAAATGCTAGAGAAGGGTGGATAGGAGTGCACTGGTTTCTGGTACTGGTTGATCACTCAGAGTCTGTTTCTATTCTGGCTCTGCAGAGCCAAATAACACTTGAGAGGTTTAAGTTGTAGTGCAGTGCTCGGGCAGCAGCCTCAGAGGCAGTGTCCACGACTTGGCTTGACAAAGCCATGGCTGATGGGATCTTGGCACTGGCCTTCCTTCTGTGGGAGGTGGGATATAGACACCCAGAGCTCCCCCACGGCCACAGGTCTGATCCCTCTCCAATTGCTTTTGCTTTTTATTATGTTTTCCTTGTACTTCTTCCATCTTCATGTTGCTTTGAATGCTCTTAAATACTACTTTGTAATGCATGTTTTGGTTCCAGTACATCATTCTCCTGAAATATGCTTTTCCATTCCCTGTTTCATCTAACACTGGAGGGATGTCCACTTCACATGACATTCCTCTTGGATACCTTGACTCCCTGTGCAATCCTGGTGTCTTTGTCCTTTTCTCCCCTCTCTCTGTCCTTTGTCACTGCCAGGTGGCCTCTTGGGGACAAGGCGTAGCTATGGACTTGGCAGTGCTGTGGTTCATTGTTGGACTTGATGATCTTAGTCTTTTCCAGCCTAGACAGTTCCATGATTCTTTTTGCTTGGCTTGTGTTTATTGCTGTGTTCATAAAACCACAGTCCAGAGTGAAGACATAAATTTCTGGTCCTCTGGTTAGTGTCTCACCTTTATCTTATTTCCTGACAACTATCTTGCCATCCTTTCAAAGGCTGAATTCAAAACCATTTCTCTTTCCCCCTTTTCAGGTATTTCCTTTCAGGAATTCTACCTGCCACATAAACCTCTGGCTGTGGAGTGATAGTGTGATTTGATAAGCTACTAAGAAAAGCTGATAATACTATTTAGTTAAATCTTTTATATGCTGTTTAACTTAAAAGTACTCCGACACTGGAGTTAGTTTAACCTTTCATCATGTCAAACTCCTGAAGCACAAACGAGTCATTTAGTGCATCAAGACTTTTAAACATAGTGGCAACGCAGAACAAATAACTTTGTAAGGAAAAACTTAGGGAGGAGCAACAGGAACAAGATTTCTGTCTCTTGGCTTAGCTGTTGTACTGAGTGAAACCTTAGTGAGGTTCTCTGCTGCACTCCGACCTGACACTTTCTATTGTGCAAGTGGGAAATGTTCTTCCCGTGCGTGTTCTGAGCAGGCACTGAGGAGGGGACTGACCTGCAGAGGTTCCTTCTCAAAATCATTCAGAGATCTCGAGGAGCAAGATGTGAAGTGTTCCATCTTTTAATAGGCACAAGATAGAAAGTGCCTTGTTGTCTAACGGGCATTCTGATTTGATTTTCCACACAGAAGAAACAAAAAGGACCATCTGTGACTGCACTCCCACTTGCATTACTTTGCTTTAGGATTAGCTCAATTGTTTGAATACAGAACTTCCCGTTATAAACCTGTTCCTTTATTGAATCATGTACCGTATCCTACACAACACAAGGGCAGAGGTTTCCCATTCAGGTCGTACCTTCCTTCCCCATACAGATATTTGGACTGGGCTTTGCCAGCAGCACCGCATTGTCTGCGGGAGGCAACGGCTTCTCGGGCGGCCAGTGGGTGCGGGTCAAGGCGAACAGCCTCGGCTGCGGGCGGGCGGGAGGAGGCAGCCGCTGGGCTGCGCCTGCAATCGGTGCGTTGCCCCTTTAACTGTGTCCCCGGCCCTCGGGCGTCTCTGTCCAACGCCCACGTCAGCAAATACCTTTTGTTTCTCTCCCGTTCGGGCTCTCGGGGCTGCGGGACCGGCGCGTCGCCTCCAGCCAGCGCCAGCCCCGCCGCGGGGCCGGGATCCCGCACCCACCGCCCGCTCCCTTTGGATCAGCGGCAGCCGCCCGCAGGACCCGCCCGGTGAGTGGCGGTTGTGCTGTGCACCGACAGGTCGGACCGGCCGTCGGGCTGAAGGCGGCGGGGAGCGAGTCCCGCTGCGAGGGCGGCTCCGGGCTCCTCGGGCTGCGGGCTCTGTGCCCTCAGGTTCCCGTGCGCTGCGGGGTCCGTGCGCGGCGGCCCCGCGGAGCCGATCGTGGTTTGGGCTGCGCGGCGTCCTCGGCGGGCGCCATTTGCAGCCCCGGGCGCGGCTGGAGGGAACCGGGCGCGGCAACAAAGGGCTGCGCGGGAGCGGGCGGCGGGGCGCGGCGGGAGGGGCGCCGGCAGCGCGGGGAGGCTGCGGCCAACCTGGGCGGCCGCGACTCGGGACACGCCGGGCGGCGGCGGAGCGGCAGCCGGGGCTCCGGTACCGCGGGCGGCTCCGGGCTGCACGCCCAGCCCAACGCAGCCCAGCCCTGCCCTGCCCAGCCCTGCCCAGCCAAGCCCTGCGGAGGGCAGCGCACGCTCTCCCGGAGCACCGACGGTCGCGGGCGCTGCGGTGCCCGCCGTAGGATCGGCCCCGCGCAGCCACCAGGCGCCTCCGCGCTTCGGCGGGCGGGTCCGGCGGCGCCGGGCGACCCGGGCGGCCGAGGGCTGAGCGGCCAATGCGGCCGGGCGGGCGGGTGAGTGACGGCGGCCTCTGCCAATGTCGGGCGAGCCCGGGCCGGGAGGGCTGCGCCCGCTGGAGCACCACTGCCGCCGCCG